GAGCTTTCAGAGGATAGTACAGGTAAAACTAAGCCAGATTTACATTCAGACTCAAACGACCTAGGTTTTCAGTAACAAAATAATCTTGAACAAGTCACTTATCTTCTATTCATAAAAGCTTTATTTGTAAAATAAGGAAACTGGGTACTATGCTCTGAATGTTTATAACCTCTTTTGGGCTCTTTTATAAGGGCACTAATCATACTTGTAAAAGAGGCCCAAGAGAGGTCCCAAGCCCCTTCTGCCATTTGAGGATGCAGCAAAAGGCAGCTGCCTATGAACAAGGAAGCGAGCACTCATTAGACATCAAATCTGCCAGTGCCTGAATCTTGGACTTCCCAGCCTCCAGAACTGTGAGAAAAAAAAATTCAGTTATTTATAAGCCAGCTGGACTATGGTATTTTGTTATAGGAGCCCAAGTGGACTAAGACACTGGGAGATAGTTAATATGGTTCTTTCAACTTTAAACTTCCATAATTCTATTTAGGTGCTGTAAACATTTGGCACAGGAAGATTAAGTGGGACAGAGGATTAAGTGTTACTTAATAGGAAAACAATGGTAGTACAAATGACTCATGCTAGCTACTTTTAAAATGTCTAATACATTTTTCTTAAATTAAAAATGTCACATAGTAAAATGAACAGGATTCAGAAAGACTCACCTGAAAATTTCTGAAAATTATTAGAGAATACATAGTTCTCCTGCCTTATCCAAGAGGGATACATTCCAAAACTCCAGGTGGATAAAACTGTGGAAACGTGCATAGTATGAAACCCCATATATACTACGTTTTTCAATTTGATACCAAGATGGCTACTAAGTGACTACCAGGCAGCTAGCATATAGAGTGCGGATACATTGCACAAAGGAATGATTCATATCTTGGGCAGCACAAAACAGGATGGTGTAAGATTTCATCACACTACTCAGAATGGCATGCAATTTAAAACTTATGAATTATATATTTCTGGAATTTTCCATTTAATATTTTTGGACTGTGGGCAACCAAAACTATGGAAAGCAAAACCATGGATAAAGGTGGACTATTGTGTCCTTAATAAGTATGTAGTATTTTGAAAATAGAAAAAGAGAATATGATATAATTTAAATAGCTATAATTTATTAAATGCCTACTAATTCATATTAGCATTACAACAATCTGGTAAAATAGCTATTTTTACTTCTGTTTTTAAATATGTAAACTGAGGATCAAAGAGATTAACTAAGTCAGGCAAAGATACTAAGTTAAAAAGTGGTACAGCTGGTATTCCAACTTGGATGTGTTTAACTCCAAAGCAATACTCTTTCCTCTATAAAAACATTGTATTCCTGATTCCTACAAACAAGTTCTTTTTTTACAGTCAAGTTTCAATTGCTAATGGTAAGGGGAAAAGGAACAACATGGAAAAATAAAACTCACACAAACATGGTATAAAAGCTTATGACATGCAATAAATTCCTGTAAGACGAGTTCTGAGGCTAGCTAAGATACTGGGTCAGATGGTTCTAGGTACCTTCCAAATCTTAAATGTGAATAATATTCCCAATTCATTGAAATTTAAACAGATTATCTACTCCAATTTCCTACTCATTAGAGAAATTTACATTTTTTTATTAAATGAATTGTAAATTAAATACAAATATCAAGTATATTATTGAGAGGATTGGTGGAATCTTCTAAGGAAAGGATGCGAAGCCCTGCTATGTTAACTTTCTATTTTCTTTCAATGTGCTTGCTGAAAAGAAAATCACATTGAAAATTCAAAAGGCAATTTTAACCTAGGTTACTACCGTTTGCTTAAAAGTGGGAAAAAATTGTTCCAGAGAAGAATATGCTGATTTGCTTTTTCATTTCCATTTACTTTTTCTTTTCTTAGGATGAGACAACAAAATTGCCACACACATACACGCACAATGCTCTGAAGAAAATTAAGGAGGACATGTCCAAGAAAATTTACCAACTAAAAATTTATCTTGGATAATGAAAAGGAAACTAAAATTTCTAAGTATTATACAGGATAAAACTGAAAGCAGAAGACATGAAACTAACAGTTGTATTATACTGTGATCTTAGCAAAAAGAAAAAAAAAACAAAGTTAAAAATTACTACTAACTTATTAACCAAAATAATTAGTGAACTATAAAGTTGGAACTTACTGCTTGTCCTTTAGTTTATCAAGAATGCCATCCTGTCAAAAAAACTGATTGATCAAGGAAATTTGCAAGTTTCTAAGTACAATCTAAATATTAACATGCAAGTATAAAGTGCCATCAAAAATATTGGGGGCATTTATAGGACATTCCAAACAACCACAGCAGAATACACATTCTTTTCAAGTGCACATGGAACATATACCAACATTCACTATAGGCTGGGACAAAAAACAAGTCTCAATAAATGTCAAACAACTGAAATCATACAGAATATGTCCTCTGACCACAATGAAATTAACGTAGACATCAGTAACAAAAAAAATTTGAGAAATTCCCAAATATTTGGAAATTAAACAGCACACTTCTAAATAACCCACAGGTCAAAGAAAACGTCACAAGGGAAATTAGGAAAGATTTTGAGCTGAATGAAAATGGGAACCCAATTTTATCAGTCCAGGTTCAACCAGAGAAACAGAATCAGCAGAAGACAGATAAATAGATAATAGATAGATAGATAGATAGATAGATAGATAGATAGATAGATAGATAGATAGATTTATTACAAAGAATTAGCTTATACAATTGTGGGAGCTGTCTAGGCAGATCTGAAATCTGTAGAGCAAGCAAGCCATCAGGAAGGGCATGCTGGAACTTTTGGGCATGAACTGAAGCTACTATTCACAGATGAAATTTCTTCTTTTTCAGGGAAGTCTGAGCTCTGCTCTTTGGACTTTCAAATGATTGAACCACGTTCCCAGATTATCTGTGATAATCTGCTTTACCTAAAGTCAGTGATTAGAGATGTTAATCACAACTACAATATAACATCATATCAAAACCTAGATTAGTGTTTGATGGAATAACTAGAAATTGCCCAGCCAAGCTGACTTACAAAACCAACCATCCAAACAACATATCAAAATTGGTGAGATGCAGACAAAGCAGTGCTGAGAGGGAAATTTCAAGTTTTAAATGCATACATCAGAAAAGAAGAGGGGTTCAGAAGCAATCATCTAAACTTCCATCTTTAAAAGCTAAAAAACAAAACCCCAAAACAGACAAGAAACATGGGAAGAGCAGAAGGAGCAAATTAAATTAGTAGAAAAAAGGAAGCTGGAGAACTACATGACTTCAAGGCATACTAATACAGATCATGTAAATATATATCTCAAGGACTTTTAATAACATAGGAAACTTGCCAATTTGTTAAATTCTTAGTTCCAACCTCTCCCTGCTTACCATGTTCCAGATATAACTTTCACAGAAGTTGAGACCTATTTGCACCTTTAAAGGTAGCAGGTAGTTCAATTCTTTAATTTTTAAGAAAAGAACACCAAATGTCAAATAGTTGGGGAAGAGATATGCAAAACTATAAGCATGGTTTCCAAACTCCCTCCCAGAGCTCTTCCCATTGCAACATACAGTCTCCAAGTTGCCTTATACGTTATTAAAAATTTGACACACCTGATTTACTGTGCTGTAGCTGTTGGGAAAATATGCCATTATACCAACTTGCTCATTTCCTTTTACTTCTTAAATGTATCCACAGGCTACCATGAGAGGCACCTTTTTGTGAATTAGAAAAGAACACTTCCTGGCCGGGCGTGGTGGCTCACGCCTGTAATCCCAACACTTTGGGAGGCCGAGGCGGGCGGATCAGGAGGTCAGGAGATGGAGACCATCCTGGCTAACACGGTGAAACCCCGTCTCTACTAAAAATTAGCCAGGCGTGGTGGTACGCGCCTGTAGTCCCAGCTATTCAGGAGATTGAGGCAGGAGAATCTCTTGAACCCAGGAGGCAGAGGTTGCAGTGAGTCAAGGTCACACCACTGCACTCCAGCCTGGGTGACAGAGCAAGACTCCACCTGAAAAGAAAAGAAAAGAAAGAAAAAAGAAAAGAAAAGAAAAGAAAAGAAAAGAAAAGAAAAGAAAAGAAAAAGAACACTTCCTCTGGGGGGTGCCTTCTAGAGGAAAAAGCAAAAAACAAAAAACCCACAAAACTTTTCTAGACTGAAGCATTAGAAGAAGGTACCCTTAGGACTGACATAGCCTCATATCAGTGCAGAAGGCTTGGTGAGTAGAGCCCCAGCTAGACTTCAGCCCATACTCACATTCTATAACTAAGTTTCCCTTTTCAGGTCACAATCTGCACAACCAACTTTAGTAGTCCACTTACTAATCATTCACCATCTTGCTGAATGCAGAAAATCAAGTAATGTTAGTCCATAAAAATATTCCATTCATAAATGAATCACATACAGAAAAAAATCTTTTAAAACAATATCTTAAAACTCTTAAGCTGTATCTTAAAACTCTTGGCATAAAAAAGTTCTAATATTGTAAATACTCTAGTAAAATAACAATATATTAAAAGAGGAAGACTTTATTACCAACGCTTTCTTTTAAAGAGTTATATTTCTTTTAAAGATTGATATTTTATGTTTGTTTTCTTTAGTAAGATTTGAAGTGTTTTTGTAAGTGCTATATTTAAAAAACACATAGATGGAAAAAATAAAGCAAGATGTTTTCCTAAGCAATAAATGTTATTGGGTTTTCAGCAAGGACATTTATGTTTCTAAAATAAAACACTTGCATACACTAGCTAGATAAAGTTAGAACTTTATCTTTTAAATTTGTTTCCCTCAGTGAACATATCTATAATCATATTGGTAGACAGGTTATTTTTGTTCTATGAGGTTGTCATAAAGTTTTTATTATAAAGGATGTTCTCAAGTATAATGCTTTCATTTTTATAAACATTCAAAATTAAACAAAAGAAATAAAAATAATTAACAATTTTAATAAAATACAGTTAGCAAACATTATCTTAAAAGAGACCATTCCTAGCTTTGAGCAGTGGCAGTATCGTAGCCAATGAGGTTTAGCCGAGGTGCGATTATTGCTAATTGAAAAGAGACTATTCCTTTCACTAGCAAATTTACTCTTATATCCTACTTACTGCAGTTTGAGTTCCAACTAGTTGAAAGCATAAACCCCCGCCTTAAAACGCACCTTCAGGAAAATTCTATTTAACCTCACTTGACTTAACATTTTACAGAGATTTCCTATGTATTTAGAGTGCTCAGTCTGTTTATACCATTTGGTACTTTTTAATGTATTACTTTTTTAATTTCATGTGCTCATGTTTTACAGAGCATGAGTTAGGCAGTAACTGCATCTGATGCCAAGTCATTCTCTGTATCCAACAGAGGGATGTAGGAGGTGGGAGAACCAGGATGCTTATGAAGGATAACAGCTACTAATTTTGTAGGCAGGCTTGTCTTGTCTCCCTATCCCCATAGACTGGCTTCATCAATTCTACTTCATTGGAACTACACCCTTTAAATACAGTCGCTTAAAAAATACTAATCTGGTTGCCATATAGGCTTAATAACTGCTGTCAATTACCTGACAAATTAATTTTTAATTTTACTTTGAAATATGCCATGGTTGGAAGACAGTATCAGACAGTGAGCTGCTCTATGGTTGTTAAATAACAGAAGTGGACTGTGTGGTATCAATGGTACTTTAAACTTTATAACCACAGGCCATCAATGGCATCATGTTTTAAAAGTAGTCTCATGTACATATTTCATCTGACCTTATCAAAACACTACTGAAATAGGAAGAGCAGGTATGGATTGCATTTTACTGATGAGGAAGCAGGAGATTCAGAAAAGTTGATTTACTCAGATCTCATTTCTAGCAAACAATGTTGGCATCAGAACCTAAATCTTCATAGATCACAGTTGTCATTAAATTTGAGTAACATTTGTTATTCAAATAAATTGTAGACAAGTGCTAGAAATAAAATTTGTTTTCATCATGCTCCTATGTAAACTCATTCTTCTCACTAAATCACTACCTCATTTACTGTAGTGATTTGATATTCATTTTCAAATTATAAAAAGTGAAATAATAATCTAATATAGTAATCTTACCAAACCTTCCTACTCATATTACTCTTTTCCAAAAATGCAGAAATTCAATTATTAATCCAGCCTTGAATCCTTCAAATTGATTTACTCTAGTGTTAAAAAAAAATAATCTATTAATATGTTTATCTGTACACTTGAATTAACACACAAACAAAGCAAAATGAGTTATATTTACAGTTTATTATCCAGGAAGGTAAATCATTATCTGGTTCCAACCTATCTTTTCCAGCTTTATTTCCAACTATATTCTCTCCTCTGGTCACAATGGATTATTCCTCAAATACACCCTGTACTTTTCTCAGTTTCCTCTTCTGGAAATTCCCTTCCCCACCCATTTCCTCTTATTCAAACTCTGCCCCTTCTTCAAGGCCTAAAATTAATGCTACTTGCATACATGCAGACTTCCTAATCCATAAATTCAAAATTAATCTCTCCGTGTACCATGAAGCTAACTGTACTTTCTCTAATCTTGTGTTTTATATAGATTTCATTGTATACAGACAGCTAACTATCTGCCTCAGCTGAGGGCTTTTTTGGTGGGGAAGGGTAGTATCTTTATCCTTCTATATGCCACTTGGATGTTGCAGATGTCTGAAAAACTATTTGATGGATGTAAATTACCTATCAAACTGAACACTGCCTTAAGGTTTTCATCATGTCCTGTCTGTCTCCTCAATCTCTAACCTTGGCTCCTCCCAGTTAATTTTCCATATTATTATTATACAATGGTGATCTCTCAAAAACAAACCCTAAACATGTCACTTTCCAATTTTAAATCTTTGTATTGTTTTCTACCATCTAAAGGACAGAGCCCAGTTTCCAAATACACCATACAAGGCCCGTCATGACCTGGCCCCAGTCTATTTCTCTAACACTTTCTACCAATTCCTGCAGACAGGCAACCATGTGTACAAAAGTTCCTGCAGATATCAGGATATCAAACTCTCACCTATCTCCTTGCACCTACTTTCTGTATCCTTGGTAAACCATTCTAATATCCCATTCCTTAACCCTCATCTCAAGGGAGGTATAATATGGCAGTTAAGTCAAGGATATCTTTGTTTAAATCCTAGATTGTTGAGTTCTGGGAAAATAATCCTGAATAAGTTAAACTTTTAAAAACACAATTAGGGAAAGGTGGAAAAGCTCTCTAACTTCACCATTCTTTCCCTACTCTTTTTGCAATACCACTCTGATCCTATGGTAAAGTGAGCAGCTTCTGGATTTTCTGCAAAACAAAAAACTAAGGGTCAGAATTAGAATGTAAGCTCTATGTTCCCTGCAGTAGAAGATTAAAACAGGTAAGTTTTAAAAACAAATGTGCTTTAAACTTTCTTTTCTTCTAGTTCCTTATTCACTACATGCTGAAGTGTGAAGTAACAATACACAGAAAATGTTAAATCCTTTTTTGCTTAATAGTCTATCCCAGCAAGGATATTAACATATTTTCACATTTATTTGCCTCATCTATTATCTTTGGGGAAATATCTGTTAAGATCTTGTGACCATTTAAAAAATTGCTTTGTTGGCTGGGTACGGTGGCTCACGCCTGTAATCCCAGCACTTTGGGAGGCCGAGGCAGGTGGATCGTGAGGTTAGGAGATTGAGACCATCCTGGCCAACATGGTGAAACCCTGTCTCTACTAAAAGTACAAAAATTAGCTGGGCGTGGTGGCACGTGCCTGTAATCCCAAGTACTCGGGAGGCTGAGGCAGGAGAATCACTTGAACCAGGGAGTTGGAGGTTGCAGTGAGTAAAGATTGCTCCACTGCACTCCAGCCTGGTGACAGAGCAAGACTGTCTCAAAAAAAAAAAAATTGCTTTGTTTTCTTATTGTTGAATTTTAAGAGTTCTTTATATATTCTGGATACAAGTCTTTTATCAGATAGATGGTTTGCAAATATTGTTTTCCCAGTCTGTGGCTTGTTTTTTAATCTCCTTAAAAGCATCTATTACAGAGCCAAAGGTTTGTTTGTTTGTTTGTTTGTTTTGATAAAGTCTACTTCGTCATTTTTGTTCACAGATCATGCTTTTGTGTTTAAAAAACTCACTGTCAAACCCAAGTTCAGACAGATTTTCTCTTACTTTTTCTTGTAGAAGTGTAATAGTTTTACGTTTTGGTCTATGATCCATTTTGAGTAAATTTTTATAAGGTATGTATTAAGATTTATTTATTTGCACATAGACCTCCAATTATTCCAGTACCATTTGTTGAAAGGACTATCATTTTTCAATCAAATTAACTTTGTACTTTTGTCAAAAAAAATCAGATGACTTTATTTGTGTAAGTCTGCCTGTGGACTCTGTATTCTGTCCCACTGATCTATCTCTCTCTCTTTCAACCATCTTTTTTTTTTTCCTTCTTTAAGATTTAATAGGTATGTCATACTCTAGATTTTGGTTAACATATACTTAAGTGGCTCTTCTAGTTCAAGGTATCATACTCTGTAAAAGGATTTATTTTTGTTCTAAAAATTAGAATGAAAATATAACAACAACAACAAAAAGTTAAACAGAACTTGAGTGATATGAAGCAGATAAAAACTGTTGTACAATGACACAATATACTAAGGCCAGGTCACTGCTCCGGCTGAAAATTGGGAGTTGTTTCACCTTAAAGAGCCCAGATGAAGTGTGCCCTTTGGTATAGTATATTTCCATGTCAGATTTACAGCTTTGTAAGGTTTTGTTTGTTTCCATTTTGTGTATATCTGGTTTAGGTGCCAGGTGTTCATCTAAAGTAATCTTGAGCAGTTACAGTATTTAAAAAAAAGAACAGTTCAAATAAATACACAGTATCAACTTTCAAACACTCTTAAAATATTAGTTAAAACTTTTGAAAAAATAAACTGAGAAATTTCTCATATGTTTCTTTGTTGGAATAACACTATCAGTTTTATGAAAAGTATTTACTAGGGGTTTTTATATGTATGAATAGCAAAAAGCTCTGAATGACCTTAAACTACATGAATTAAGGTAATTCAAACATCCTCCCTTACTATGACCATAATATCAAAGACTGAAAGCAGTGATGCTACAATTTACCCATCCTTAGGTTGTAATTCCTTTCTGAAGGCAAGAGTCCTAAGTTGTCAATTTGTGTTGCACGCCATGCTTAAGTATTATAATAGGTGTTTTGTCCCTGTATTAGTCCATTCTCATGCTGCTAATAAAGATATAACCAAGACTGGGTCAAGGAAAGAGGTTTAACTGACTCAGTTCCACATGGCTGGGGAGGCCTCACAATCATGGCAGAAGAAAAAGGGACAGCAAAGTCACATCTTACATGGTGACAGGCAAAGAGAGCATGTGCAGGGGATCTCCCCTTTATAAAACCATCAGAGGCCGGGCATGGTGGCTCACGCCTGTAATCCCAACACTTTGGGAAGCTGAGGTGAGCGAAAAACAAAATCAGGAGATCGAGACCATCCTGGCTAACACGGTGAAACCCTGTCTCTACTAAAAACACAAAAAGTTAGCTGGACATGGTGAGCGCCTGTAGTCCCAGCTACTCAGGAGACTGAGGCAGGAGAATGGTGTGAACCCGGGAGGTGGAGCTTGCAGTGAGCTGAGATTGCGCCATTGCACGCCAGCCTGGGCGACAGAGCGAGACTCTGTCTCAAAAAAAAAAAAAAAAACAAAACAACAAAAACAAAACAAGAAAAAAAAATCCATCAGATCTTGTGAAGCTTACTATCATGAGAACAGCGCAAGGAAAGACCCAGCCTCATGATTAATTACCTCCCATTAGGTCCCTCCTACAACATGTGGGAATTATGGGAGCTACAATTCAAGAGGAGATTTGGGTGGGGACATAGCCAAACCATATCAGCCACCCCTTTTTTATTTTAGGTTCGGGGGTATACGCAAAGGTTTCTTACATAGGTAAATATGTGTCAGAGGGATTTCTTGTACATATTACTTCATCACCCAGGTATTATTAAGTCCAGTATGATGTCCCTTTTTTCCCACTGAAAATTATTACAGTTCACTGACACAACTTAGAAACAAAGCTAGTTTGGCTAACAAAAGGAACCCTCTCACTT